TTTATGTTGTTGCCTGTATTTTTGCACTGGCGTCTACTCATCTCTTCCTCTGCTTGGTGCAGGTGGTGTCTGTGTCTGAGAGTGCCTCTCTTGTTCTAATTTTTAGTCTTGGTTCAGTAGGGGTTCTTGGTTAAATTGGTGCTATATGGCTGTTTCTTCAGGGGGAGCTGATTTCAGTCGGTGAAGTATATACTTATGATTCTGGTGATCTGGTTTGGTGGCTGGGCAGCGCCTTCTTCTATGTTCCCAGGTCACATTTTGTTCATTTGTCAACTCCTCAGCTGATCTTGTTTCTTCAGACTTCAAACTGTAGTGATCTGAATCCTCTCCCGATGGATTTCAGCTGAGCATGGTAGTCTAACCAACACCTCCAAGTTGTTGGGTTTCACAGGATCAGCAGCTGGGCCCTGGGTTGTCCACAGACGGAGTGTTCAGATTAGTTGTGGTAGCGTCCCATGGAGATAGCTTCTTCCCCGGGTGTTGGGGTTAGGAGCATCCCTGTTCCAAGCTTTTGATTAAGAGTTTGTTTTCACCAGCTCTTCAGCAGGTAATAGCTCTGTTTCTGGTCTTTATTGCGACATTGTTTCGGCCGCCGCCTGCTGTGCCTGCCTGCCTCCACTCCAGGCTTGCCTGCCTCTGCCGGGCCTGTATGTCTCTGCGGGCTGCTGCCGGGCCTGTATGTGTTTGCCGGCCGCTGCCAGGCCTGAATGTCTCTGCCGGCTGCCTCTATATTTCTTATAATTTGAAATAAGTTGCTGTCTGACATGTAGTGAGTTACCCTCTTAAATTGATATTTTTTTTCTCTTTCCATCTTGCTCTGGATTGTGGTGATATTTTATAAATAAAGCTTGCCTGGAGATCAAGAAAGTACATGCCTTTAGTCCTTGGCAAACAGGATCTCTGTGTTCCAGGCCACACGGGAAGCAGAGCCAGGTGTGGTGGCACATGCCTTAAATTCCAAAAATAGTTAACCCATGGAGGTTTGCCGGTCTGTACAGACAGACAGGAAGTAACAGTTCTGTGTAGGAAGAGGAAGTAATGTAGCTGAACGGAGTGAGCATATCAGATGGCAGAACAGCAGGGCATGTAGATGTGAGTAGACAGGAAGTAACTCGCATTTGGAAGCTGAAGAGTTGGTGAGGTAAGGTTGCCTGGTGGCTTTCCCTGATCTAAGGCTTTCACCCCTATATTTGTCTCCATGTTTTTTTTTATAATAAGACCATTTAGAAATTCTTCTTCACTGGGTAACATTGGATCCTCCGTACTGAGATAGTGTGGACAGAGTGGACACACATGTCACTGTCCTAAGGAGATTGGAATACTTTCTCTCTCTCTCTCTCTTTTTTTTTTTTCTTCCATTTAGTAAAATGTTAGATTTATTTTCATGGCTTTTTTTGTCTTTTATGCTGAGGCACGTTCCTCCTATCCCCAGATTTTTGAAAACATTGACAATGAGCAAATGTGAAATTTCTCCATAGTCCTTTAATAGATTTATTAATATGGTCATATTCCTTCTGTCAGAGTCTGGATATTTGCTGTCTTAAATCAATATATCTGTACATGTTGAAACAATGTTGTATCCCTCAGTTTTGGAGGGTGATATGATGAGTACATTTGTCCTTTCTGTAAGTCTCCTAAGGGATTTCTCCATTTTCATTACCACCAGAAGTTAGAATAAGGTAAGATTCTAATTACCATTTCTTCATCTTCATTTTTGGCCATTAGATCATTTTTTGTTGTGTATTATTTTTTGGATGAGGGTTTTAATTAATAGCTGTTGCTCCTCTGAAACACACTATGTAGGCAAATCTAACAACAGATTACAGAGTTATACCACTTTTACCTCTTTATCCAGAGTGGTGAAGTTAAGTTGTGCCCACCGCACTTGGTTCTATTTGTTTTCTTGTTTTCCTTTTCTTTTTAAATTTTTTTTGTTTGTTAATTTTCTTTTTTCTTGGTTGTCATGGCTAATTTCTCTTTTTTAATGAAAATGTTGACTCCAATTATGATGTACGGTGCAGCATGAGTGGATGACCTTTGTTATTTTATGACCTTCCTATGTCCTTCCTTCTCCATGAATTTTAATAGCCCATGTTACTGGGTACAATGATAAGGTTCATAGTGATTTTCTTTCACCACTCTAAATATATCTTTCCACACTCTAGTCTGGGGGAATGTTGACAAAATTTCTTGTATCATTTTGGTTTGGAGGGTCTTTTTATGTGGCTTGGCAGTGACCATGACAATGTTATATTATTTTTAGATTTGTATTTTTGACAAGTTGATACAAAATTTCAACAAGAGTTACAGTCTTTGTTTCTGGGAAACTCAAAGAAGAGCACCAAGAACAATGAATGCTTCTGTGGCTAATGCTCCCCAGGTCAGTGTCATGTCCACTTTTCTCTGAAAATTGTTTTTATTATTGAAACCATTTAAATAATTAATTTCTACTGATTGCAGTGTTAGTAAAAGTGTTTATTTTGCCTTATTTATCTGTATTTTTCTTCTATATTCAAGATTATGTTTTTTCAATCTTTCAACTATATAGCAGAAACTTGTCCCATTATATTTTCACTCAATTTTATACTGTGAGGTCATGAATTTCCATGTACTTAAAGACGTACATTTCTTTCTTTTTTTTTCTTTCTTTCTTTTTTTTTTTTTTTTTGGCTTTTGGAGACAGGGATTCTCTATGGTGGAACAGCTCTGGCTGCCCTGGAACTCGCTTTGTAGACCCGGCTGGCCTCAAACTCACAGAGATCCGCCTGCCTCTGTCTTCCAAGTGCTGGGATTAAAGGTGTGCACCACCCACCACACGACAAGAATTGAATTTCTAAGACACGAGCTATTTTAAATGACACTCAAGAAATATTTTATTGATGGCCATTCTTTACTTTGAATGGACTTGTGGCCTTTTACATTAGTGAGAAAGGATGGTCTCGTGTACCACATAGTTGCATTTCTGGAATGGTTAGTTTTCCAGAAACAGGCTTATGAATGTGGACATGCCAATACAAGGTCCTTTACACTGACATCACTGAGAAATTTATAGAAAAGTAGAATTAGACGAAACTCATTGTCTTGGACCATAATAGTAAATATTTTAACACCCTGGAGAACACAGATGATAGAAGTTATATGTGGCTTGCTTTTGCCAGAAAGTTGCTGTGTCTGTGAAGAGATGAAGGTTGCAGTATTCTGGTTTCTCTTTTTGTCATATTATGCCATACAGTGATCATGGATGAGGTGACCCCTGAAATGTACTTATATCATAAGACATTCTGCTCAATGCTCACTGGTTAGCTCTCTTTAGAAAATTCTAATTCTCTCTCTCTTTTTTTTTCTTTTGAGCTGAGGATTGAACCCAGGGCCTTGTGCTTGCTAGGAAAATGCTCTACCACTGAGCTGAATCCCCAGAAAATTCTAATTCTCTCTTTGTCTCATTTCCTTTTTCAGAAGGGGCATAAGCACTGCTGTCTAGACCTTTGTATAGCATTATGTGGAATATATTAGTAAGAGATTTCTAGAGAGTACTGATTTGGTGCTGTACATAAGCCATCAATTTTCAAGCATACACAAATGTCCCTCTTAATTACTTGACTCTCTTCTTTTCTTTTGGAGAGAGAAGGTCTTCGCCAGCCTGTTTTTACTCTCCCTGCAGGTTTGTATTACACAGGGAGAAATTCTGAGGGGTTGTGCCAATGTTTATTTCTTTCATCACAATAATATTTAAGTATATGAGATGTTCAGCATATTTTTATGTACACTGCATGATGCATTATGTCCCTGGATCCCTGAATTTAGCGCCATACCCTTGGCACTAAAGTCAGACATTGTAGTTAGTTGGTATGTCTTTAGAGAGAAGTAAATTAGGTTTCTCTGCAGGAACAGCAAGTGCCTTTTACCTCTGAGCCATGCCATCAGGCTCCCAGTTTACATTTCTGGTGCACACTTGTGACAGTATATAACCATGTGTATTCTAGTTCTTGAAAAATGAAGGCATAATCATAAGTGATACTTATCTATGCTAAAATCCTGTTTGATGAATGAGTTCAAAAATACTGGAGAAAAAAAGTTGAAATTAATAGGTTTAAATTTCTTTGAATCAATCGCATGAACAATAATATATTCAAAATTAATGAAGAGTTACATTATTTCTCACTCTATTTAATACATTTGTTTTATAACAGAAAATGTTTTTTATTTCATATGACTACATTGTCACATATGCCACTTATTTACTTATGTATTTCTAATTATTGAAACACCATATGGAATTTATGGAATTGTTATCAATACTGTTTGTGTCAACTTTTAGAAAAATTTAGAAAGCATTAATGTTGTCTAATTCTACTGTTTCTATTTACTTCATGGTTGTAAATATTTCTCATAAAATATCTTCTAAAATTTTGTATATATTCAATGATTTTGCACTCTTTACTCTCATGAAAATATTGACTTTCAATTCATCCATGAATTCTGCATGCTGTGTTCTACCTCCTTGTTCTACAAAGGGACAGCATTGTACCTAGGCCTCAGGATCTCAGCTGGGCATTTTAGAATAGAGTCAGGTGAATCCAGCTTCAGATAGGATTGAGCTAGTGTACATACTTAAGCAAGGTCATCTGCTGTATAATTTGGAAGCATACTTTTGCTCATTATAACTTTGTCTTCTGAAATGTAACATTGAATTCTGTTTGATATTAACATTTATTCCATAAAAATACATTCCTGCATCTAGACCTCAAATGTCTATGTTATATTCCCTAAAAGTTTGCTGTTTGCAAGATTATTATCTCATCCTGTTTTCACAGATATAGGAAATATATAGACTCTGGATTTTTTTTTAAGGTATCTTTTACTAAAATTAAATTGTAATTTTATTTTATATATTTCCATATATTAGCTTGAAAGTATGTGTATGTGTTGGGTATCACTCCTGCAGAGAGCAGAGAGCATTGGATATCATAGATCTGAGATTATACTATGGGTTTTTTTTTGTTTGTTTGTAATGTACTATGTCCTGTTATACATTGTCTCTGAAAGAGTAGCAATGCAGCTCTTCTGGAAAACTCTTGTTTTTAAAAATTGCCCTGCCTCATATATATACATATATATCACAAACATGTCTAATTTTTTAGGTTTCTTTTAACAAAGAAATCATTTTCAATCAATGCATGGTCAATAGGTAACTTTCCATTGTAGGGTCTGTTATCATTCAGGGATGTGGCTGTGGACATCTCACAGGAAGAATGGGAATATCTAGATTGTGCTCAGAAGGCTTTGTACATGGACGTGATGTTGGAAAATTACAACAATCTACTCTTTGTGGGTAAGAATTCTCTTATTGTAGAATTCCTGATTCATCCTCTTTGTTTACCTACTTTGTGTATATGAAAACTCTCTGATCCGAGGGAATCCCTGAAATGAGGGAAATTCTGGCTCCCAACATACCTTTTTAATGGTGTTTCATTTACATTTTTCTGTTCTTTTAAAAGAGTAACTAATGCTATATTCTCTGTGATCTCTTCAGTCCTCCGATCTAAAACATAAATTTATTTCAATGTTCAGAGAATATTGAATATTGAGAGAAAGGAAATATATTGCAGTACTCACAGTATTTAGAATATTTTAATTTTCCTACTGGATTGAACTCTTCACCTATTTCTGATTTTAAACAACATTAAAAGTTTTAGAGAAAGAGCTGTTCATTATGAGAATGTTGTTTTTGTTTAGTTTTTTGAGATATGGTTGCTATGTTTAGTATTGGCACAAAATGATTTTAATATTTGCACATTGGAGGCTAAAGCACATGGTGAGTTCTATAGATGTAACCAACCATCTTATTAAATAAGAAACAGAGAACCAATGTAAAAGAGAAAGCCGAGAGGTCAGAGTTCAGAGCTAAAATCTTACCCTTCCTCCTGCGAGCTCCTAGCTTCCCGAAAGAGAGCTATTTCCTGTATGTCTGTCCTTTCATAGTCTTTTGTTCTGCCTTCTCATTGGTTTTAAACCCAAACACGTGACTGCCTTGTCACTGTCTGTATGTACAGCCCCCCAGGTCATAAAGGCATATGTCTCCAATGCTGGCTGTATCCCTGAACACACAGAGATCTGCCTAGCTCTTCTACCAATTGTTGGGATTAAAGGCGTGTGCCACCACCACCACATTCTTGCTGTGGCTCTAATAGCTCTGACCCCCGGGCAACTTTATTTATTAACATACAATCAAAATCACATTTCAGTACAATCAGAATACCACCACAGAGTTCCCTGCCACCTGTCTTAAAAACATAAGAAATAGGGAAACATTCTTCATATATTCCTTCACAGAGCTTCTCTCTCAAAGATCTTTACTGCTCAAACACCTATTTGTCTTACCAGCTATGAGGTACAGTGTGAAGATAAGAATGCAAAGGCTATGCCTGGGACTGACCTAGGTCCTCTACATATATATGGCAGTTGTTTAGTTTGGTCTCTTTGTGGGAATCCTGGCAGTGGGATCAAGGCCTTTCCCTAACACTTTGGCTTGCTATTGGGAAGGTATTCCTCAGAATGGGTGCTTTGTCCAGCCTTTATACAAAGGGAGGAGCTGATTCCTACCTCAACTTAATATGCCATACATTGTGGACACTCATGGGAAGCCTGCATCTTTCAGAATAGAAACAGGAGGAGTTGATGAGACAGAGGGGAGGTGGGAGAGGGGCAGGAGGACAGGAGTGAGAGGAAACTGCAGTTGGGATTATCAAATAAATAAAAAAATATAATAAATGGAACAAAAGAATAAGTAGGCTATAATTTGTCCCCGTGGTTTGATATAGATCAGATTGGAGATTCTTATGAGCATCCACTTAATCATTGTGAAACAGAAAATCCTCTGTTAAGAGCTCTGTCCCTGAAAGTTACTAGTGTATATGTCATTGTAAACCTAAGAAAACATCAGTTATTGAATCTGTTACTCATGCATTAATTGCTATTATCCCTAATTACACTATTTTTCAGAGAACCATTGCATATGTGGTAAATATGAGAAGGTCTTGCATCAAGACACAAAGCATTTCATCCATGATCATGAAAATGTCAAAGAGAAGTCTTATAAATGTAATGAGCTTGGCAAAGTGATTCATGAACTCTGCCAATGTAGATCTTATGACACAAGTGATACTGCAGAAAATTACAAGTACAGCTTTTTTAACCACAGAGATGCCTGTGTTGAAACCTTAAACATCAACAGACACAAAAGTGGGAATGCTGGAGAAGAACTTTGCAAATATAAAGACTGTGGAAACTGTTTAAATTTGTGTTCTATCATTAGCCAAAATCGAAGCACTCACTCAATAAAGAAAAAACACAAAAATACGGAGCATGATACATCTTTTGACTCTAATACAGAAATCACATTGAAACAAACAGATAGCAGGAAGAAAGCACATCAGTGCAGGAAATGTGGGAAATGCTTCAAGACTCACTCAAGCCTCATTAGGCATCAGAGAGCCCATTCCAGAGAGAATTCCTATAAATGTGCAAATTGTAATAAATCCTTTCTGTATTTTTCACAACTCCAACTACATTACAAAATCCATTATAGGGGAAAACCCTACAAATGTACAGACTCTGGTAAGTGCTTTTATGATCTATCAAAGTTTAAAAGACATTATAAGATCCATATTGGAGAGAAACCTTTCAAATGTAGTGAATGTGACAAATTCTTTGCCAAAAAAAGCAATCTTAGAACTCACCAGAGAATTCACACAGGAGAGAAACCTTTCAAATGTAGTGAATGTGACAAATCCTTTGCCGTAAAAGGGAGATTGAGAATTCATCAGAGAATACATACAGGAGAGAAACCCTACAAATGTAGTGAATGTGACAAGTCTTTCAAGGAGAAAAGCCATCTACAAGCTCATCAGAAAATACACACAGGAGAGAAACCTTTCAAATGTAGTGAATGTGACAAATCCTTTGCTGAGAAGAATACATTTACAATTCATCAGAGAATACACACAGGAGAGAAACCTTTCAAATGTAGTGAATGTGACAAATCCTTTACCACAAAACACCATCTTAGAATTCATCGGAGAATCCACACAGGAGAGAAACCTTACCAATGTAGTGAATGTGACAAATCCTTTACTACAAAAGACCATCTTAGAATTCATCAGAGAATTCATACAGGAGAGAAACCATTCAAATGTAATGAATGTGACAAATCCTTTGCCGCAAAAGGGTCATTGAGAATTCATCAGAGAAAACATACAGTAGAGAAACCCTACAAATGTAGTAAATGTGACAAATCTTTTAAGGGGAAAAGCTATCTTCAAGCTCATCAGAGAATCCACACAGGAGAGAAACCTTACCAGTGTAGTGAATGTGACAAATCTTTTAGTATGAGATACCAGCTTAAAAGTCATCAGAGAATCCACACAAAAGAGAGACCTTATATATGTAGTCCATGTCACAAATTGTTTACCACAAAAGAAGGTCTTAAAAGTCATCAGAGAGTCCACACAGAAGAGAAACCTTTCAAATGTAGTGAATGTGACAAATACTTTAAAAGACGCTCCGCTCTTGGAAAACATCTGAAAAGACATAAAGATGAGAAATCTTACAAATGTAGTGAATGAAAAATCCTTTACTGACAATGCAGCACTTAGAAATCATCAGAGAATACATACAGGAGAAAAATCTTACAAATGTAGTGAATGTGACAAATCCTTTATCCTAAAAGTCTGTCTTAGAGATCAACAGAGAATACATACAGGAGAGAAAGCTTTCAAATGTGCTGAATGTGACAAATCTTTTACTACGTAACACCAGCTAAAAAATGTCATCAGAATCCACTCAGGAGAGAAACCTTACAAATGTAGTGAATGTGACAAATCCTTTACCTGGGACTCATCTCTTAGAATACATCGGAGAATACATACAGGAGAGAAACCTTACAGATGTAGTGAATGTGACAAATTCTTTACCCGGGGCTCACCTCTTAAAACACATCAGAAAATACATACATTAGAGAAAGTTTAAAAATGTAGTGAATGTGAGAAATCCTTTTCTGTTGGTTTAGCTCTTAGAATATGTTCTGGGATGTTTGATTACACTATGAAACCTGAGTGTTAGTAATATCAACCTTAGATCGGGTGCATCATAAGTTTATGCAGAGTGAAAATGAAAATGTAGGACAATTTTCGTCAACTTTTTACCTGTTCATTGCCAAATACTTCATAATGAAAACAAAATGCAGACCTCAAGTATATGCTCTTTAACAGTTTCCCGGATATTGGAGTGATACATTCTGAGGGAAGCTGATTATGGCAGGGAATACACCACTCAAAACATTAAAGAAATCTCTGAAACCTACAGAATTCAGTCATCTTAAGTTGAAGAAGTCATGCCCCTTGGAAGCGGATTTTAGCCATCACTATAGGATGCTCTTTAGATATGCCTGCAGACAGGTGTGCAGTGTGTATCAAGGGTTTATTATTCAGAAGCAGTATCACATTCTGGTTTCAAGTCATGATAGCAACTATGTTTGATTCCCTTATGCTCCTGTAAGTAACTGCTTCCCCATATTCCTGTAAGCAATCCCAATAAAGCTCATTGATTCAAAAAAGTTGGAATTCTGTTTTCAGTTTCCAGTTGGGGTCAGTAGATTTGTATGCATGTTGTACCTCACCAGGAAATGTTTCTCATAAATATGTGCTGAACCCACTAATTGTTCCGCCACACTTTTTGTAAACAGGAAATCTCAGCCTGTGGGCCATGATTTTTTGGGATTAAAAGACCGGCTCACAGGAATTGCCCAAGAGATATGATGCTTCTATTGTCTCTAGGCAGCTCTGCCCACTTGCAGATACACCCACCTAGAAGTGAATGGAACTGTATTAAAGGCTTCCCCCATTTGGAAAGTTGGAGCCATTGTATTGGAGAAAAGGCTTTTATTTGCCAAAAATAGGAAAGTTTGTTTATACTCACTGCTGCAAGGTTGCATGCATAGCCGTACTTTGTTAAGTTATAAAGGCCTCACACAATGTAGGGACTTTGGAAGTCTCAGAAGGCTGCTTTCTCCCGTGCATTCCAGGAGCAGTGGGAGAGAAGTCTGTAAAAGGACAAATGAAAAATACAGCTATTAAACTTACCGACAGACATCATCCAAACTGGATTGTATTCCTGAATAGCTTTGAACTCATGCTATTATCCCATGATTTAGCCACCTCCAATGACTTTCAGAACAGTGCTACCCAGGGGCCTATACTACAGACAATTGAGGTGTGCTTGTGTCATGCTATACCATATCTTCCCACTCTACAAACCCCAATAAATGAATTTCAATTCCTTTTTTTTAAAGATTTATTTATTTATTATGTATACAGAAGAGGGCGCCAGATCTCACTATAGATGGTTGTGAGCCACCATGTGGTTGCTGGGAATTGAACTCAGGACCTCTGGAAGAGCAGTCAGTGCTCTTAACCTCTGAGCCATCTCTCCAGCCCCTCAATTCCTTTTTTAAAGCCTCCCCACAATGCTAATCTTATAGAAATCCCAGTATATTCATATGAAACAAAACTCAAAAATATTTGCTAAGGACTCACCTTCAGCTTAAAATGTGTAAGTTCATCCAAGAATTATCATGGAACGGTGAGGCTTTAATGGGATAATCTATGATCACGATACAATGTACATATGCTCATTTATGTTTTAGAAATCCCCAGAGTGTGCTGTAAGGTCAATTTGACATACTGAGAAGTGATGAACAAGTATCTAGTTGACTCCAAAGCATTATATTAGAATATTGATACTAAAACCAAGAAGACTCAAAGTTTGTTTTTTAGATAACTCAGGGTATTTCAGTTAACAAATCCATATAATTACACATTCACACATTTTTTAAAAATGTATTTCTGTACAAACAATGTCATATTCAACCCATGAGAAATTTTGAGAAAATTTGGTGTTGTCAGTATTGGAGTTTATTGAAACAGGAGCTCATGATTGGTACAATTGTGAATAAATTCAGACTGTTGTATTCAGATGATCACAGATAATTTCTATCAGTTACTGCTGCATCAGGGATGTTGGACCTGAGACCAGAGACAGTGAGTGGAAAGTTTGTTTTCTGGACTGTCCCTAAACAATCCAGAGATTGCAACCAGCTGGACAGACTCTGGTGATGTTTCCAAATTCAGGTGTTCAATGCATAGAGATCCCTCTGCTTGATGACTTTTAAGTCCTTATCTGCGGCGCGCTCCTCTCGACCCGCAAGGAAGAACGACCGCCACACAAAGATTCTTCCCGATCACACTTTATTGGAGAGCCTTTGGTTAAAGGAGTGCTGGAAGCGAGGGGCGGGGGGGGCAGTGAAAGCGGCTGCTTTATATAGGGAAAAAGAGGCGCGAATCGCTGGCTGAACTTAGCCTGCGGCCACCAGGCAAGACAGGATTGGTGAGGGGCCAATATAGCTTATGCATATGCAAAGCAGAGGCGTGTATTTCGTCGAAAGCATTGTCTTAGGAGTAATAAATCTTCAGAATGCAGAGAAGTCAGCGCCATCTTACAATGGCGATTGTCCCGGCTCCCTGCAGTTCCCCTTTTTTGTTTTAATATAAGAGCAAAATGAAGACTTACTCCCGTTCAGGTCCCCACCTCATGATGTGTGGACCGATCGAGGGAGGCCTAAGGCCAGATAGACACTCCTTCTCCGGTGCAATGGGGTCAAACCCTCGGAGGTGCAAAGGCAGTGCTAAGGCCAAGACAACTCTACTCGCCTTA